TAGACTAATGCTTTTTTTTTTAAACTTTCCTAAGACTCGTGGCAAACTTTTAAAAAGGTTTGGTATATTTTCAGTTCTACCTCAGCTACTAGAGTAAAGGTTTTCTTYATGAGAGATAATGCTTTTGAATTTTCTGGATAGAGCTGGTAATTTTTCATTGCTTTAATGTAGTGAAGAACAGTTACAGTGTACTACACGATAGTAAATACTTCTCTACTGCTATTTGGTATTTTAGCAATATTATACAAGATAATGTGAGTAAGCATACTCAAGTTTTCAAATGTATTAGCAAGAATATGTTGTAACCTTCTTAATMTCTTTGTATTTTCTCTCATTCTAATCTGAAAATAGTAATGACCTTTTGTCTTAAAACTGATGAGAGAATGGAGAACACTTACCAGAAAGCCATCTCAAAAGAAAAAAAGCAACAGCTATCTATTAGCTTTTTTGTGCCAGCTGAAAGCCTGATTTGTAGGTAATAAAAATAGCTTTTGTGGATAAAGTTCTCTTACTGTGAATTTGTAGTGAGGTGCATCATCTTCCCCTTCTTTCCCCCCTGCCTCCCTGTGCCTGGCCCGAGTAACTTAGCAGAGTCAAAAAACCCTTAGACAAAACAAAAGTGATACTTGATAGAGATGCTCGTTGGTGGTTACTTACTCTGTTCACTCCCTTTGGCACAACTGCAAGGAATGGAGTACTCCATTATTTCTGACACACCGGGAAAGCATCTCTGAAATTACAGCAGATGTGGAAGAAATGACTAATAAATATCACATAAATGATAGTGGCCTGGGCACTGAAGGAGGAGTCTGACATGCACAGTAACTGTATTTGGCTCATGACTCCTGTCAGATGATGGACTTTCAAGTAATTAATACATGATTTAAAATGTCTGCAAGATAGTTTGCCTTATATAGATCCTGGTTTTTTAGTATGAAAATGTGTACAAAGCCACTGCAAGGATTGTCCTGTTATTGTCCAATTAAAATATCTAGAGACCTTCCTCTGATCAGAAATCTTCTTTTACATACTGAAAGCTATTTGTTCACAAGCCAAAATATCATGTTTATTCAGCAGACTCCTGGTTATAATGGGTTTTTTCCCCTTTGTTAGTGAAAATGGTACTTGTTGGGTCACCAGACATTCAATATGGGACGATACTGGCTTAAGCTCATTAGCTGCTACTAGCGTGTGGTGCTTTTGTCCCATCCTTTCCCTACCCTCCCCCCACTTTCCTTTTCAATAGATACAGAGCAATCTAGAAAAAGATAAGGGATTGCTTTTGCTTCTGTGTGATATGGTGGTCCGGCATGAGTGCACTCGAATTTATCTACCAAATCTAATTGTGTGCTCAGCTGCTTCAGGACCTTACTCTTACAACTTGAATCAGCCAGATCTTGTCTGTGATCTATCTTRTTTGATTCTTTCATGTCTTGTCTTCTACATCTCCTTGCATTAATTCCAAACTCACAGCAGCGCTGTTTGGTTATCCGTTGATGGTTATTTTCTCCTTGTCCTTTGTTTTCTACTCTCTTGTCCTCCTAGAAAAGGCCTGGTCCTTCTCCCGTATGGGGTTACCATGAATTCTTGTCTAGTGAARGTGGTGCAAAATGTACCTGGCTTCRATTTTGATCTTCTTCCCTGAAACCCTTCATTATTCCCGTGTGTAGATTTGCTAACTTCCATTTAACCAGACCTTACAATGTGGCTTATTTTCTGCAAGGAGCACTGAGATGTGTATCAGCAATTCCCATCCCATTGGTTGTCCTAGAGATGGTGACTAATTGCCAATTGCTGTCTACATGTCTCATCTCCCCAGTGGGATTATATTTTYTTATAGGTACTCACATGAATTATCTTTGCCCATTATTCTGTCTCTTACTTTAAGCCTCTACTCATTTGGTTCCATTAAATCTTCATACAAATGTGGTCTGTTTGGCATATTTCATAATCTGTATCTACTGGTTCTGATAATCTTACAGTCTCAAATTACTGCCTTTGCCTTCATTTTCCCATTTAGTACTGTCCTGGGTACATTAGCTTCCTTTTACCAGTATTACTCCTGGATTTTTTGTCTCTAGGCTCCAGTGATTTGAGGAGCCTTTTTCAGTTCTTTCAGCTGTTTTTAGTGACCTGTATTAGTGAGAATCATTAACTGAACCTTCACTCGCTGAAGTTCTTGAAATCTGTGTATCTTAGATGGATTAGGCAAATCAAGATAACTGCCAAAAGTTCAGGGTCTTGCACTTCATGGCCTTATTGGTCTTTATTTTTTTTTATAGGGAGTGAGTACTCTTAGGCTTATTAGCTAGAAAGAAAATAACTTGATTTCTTTAAGCCATAGATTTTCACTTACTTATCTACTGGTCATTGTTCAGACAAAGCCTTAAGCAGTTTCATCTGGYGTAAGCAAGAGGTTGGAATAGATGATCTGAGGAAGTCCCCCTCCAGTCTGAGTTATTCTGTGACTATGGCGATTTTTATGTTTCGCAATTCTTAAACTAACCGTTTYAATTCGTCCAGTGCCCTGAGATTTGAGTGCACCAGTAACACAGTCTTAACTATATTATTTACTGCTCTTTTGGAGGTGTGCCTCAGGCTTGATGGCTTTGTAGCCTGAAGAATACATGATGAGAGTAAGAGTTATTATTAAGCAGCACAAAACAAATTCCGGATTATGAAATGCAGATGTCTCGMTGCAGAAATCCAGACCCCAATAAGCATTTAGAGGAATCACCCTAGAAGCTGTTCCTCAGCCGGGAGGAGCTGCGCCGAGCCCGGCACCCACTGGAGGGCGCTGCGGCCGCACGGAGCTGCTCTGCTGCCTCTGAGAGAAGGAATTTGGCATTTAGATKCCCAAATCTAATCTCTGCTTTACTCTGTTCAAAATCCTTGGGAAGGAAGTACAGATTTTGCAACAATTCGGTGTTTTGGTTGGTTTTGGTGGGTTTTTTGCAAATGCAAAAGGAATTTTGCATTCCAAAACTGTAAGCGTAACTTGTTTTGCCCAGAAATTTCTAGAATTCATCATCAGTTGTTTCTTAAGAGAAATATGATTTCAGTCAAATCTGCTGAATCACAGCTTAAAACACTGTCACATTATTWATTGGGATGAGAGTTTGTCTCATGTCCATGTTTTCAGAGATGTTATTAAAGGGCATGAATTCTGTTTTGGTTTAGTCAGTTATTTATTCCGTTCTGYTGGAGTTCTGAGTTTCCTTTTATCTCTGATTCTTCATTTTAAAAAGTTAATATGTAGTTGGCTGCTTTCTACTCRTTTTATCAGAAATTTAATTGGTAATTCAAACTTCATCTGACTAAAGAAAGATTAGAACCTTTTCTGTTGTAGATTGACTTGGAGTTCAGGTACACTTGTTTTTCTTATCTTGTTTAATGCCAGATTTTCAGCTTGCTGTTTGTGCCTGGACTGAGAATGGTTTTCATCTCTCAAATGAGTCTATATAGCTTGTGTGGAGAGATACCCTTTTATGTTGTAGATATTTTAGAACAGCATGTTAGCAAGATGGAAGCATTTGCTAAGGAGTGATGGAGTTATGTTTTTTTTTTTTCTGCATCTTTGTAAATGGAAATGTTTCATGTTTGTCGGTTGCTTTGAATTCAGGCTTGACATCCTTAAGGAGCTTTGCCAGGCTATGGCAGTGCTCACTTATGAACATGTTTACATTGCTAGTCCTGATGTAGAGGTATCAAATATGCAAGTTGGAGGAATATGCCAGTTGTAAGCCTTRTAACCATGTGCATTAATAAACAAGGTGGTGAGATTCAGAAGTGATTTCTTCCATAGAAAATGACAATTCAGTAGTTATTCATCATGGGTTTTACTGCACTTTTTTGGAAGCACATGAGACTAGATGTGRTGAAATTTTGATTTGATGTGACAGTCCTTGGACTTACATCATACRTGAAATTGGTTACCTTGAGCATGGATATGATGATTATTGTGCTGAGCTTTTGTAATATTTATGATGGTGTATTTTTCTATATCACATATATAATGGACCTAGTAATATGAAGAATCTGTGCATATGAATTTTAAAAATGGAAACCATCATCTTGCCTGGTTTAGGAGCACAAAGAAGTTGTTCTACARATTCATTTTTTTGCTGCAATGGTATATGTTGAAATAGGCAGGGTTAGCTTTTTGAGCTGGGTATAGGCAGTCTTTGCTGTATAGGGCAGCAAATAGTGCAGTTTAAGCTTGTTGCATGTTTGCAAATTTCTATATGAAAAGCAGATGTCAGATGATAATGTCATGAAAAATCTGAAATTCCTGCAGTCACTTTGATCATTTAAATTTTGCCCAGTGTGGTCACTGGCCTCAAGGATTAGCTATTTCYTGGTGGGCTGGTGTTCCTGGCCCAACAGGCTCACCCTTTTTTTATTCTTAAAGCCAGCATGCTTTGGGATATGTCTGGGGACTGTCCRAGCTGTCATGTTTCTGCAGGAGGTATGTTTTGATGGCAGATTGAAGGTCTGTTTGTAGARTGAGGAAGAGAAGCCTGTGATGCTGCTGTCCATGGTGTGGGTGCTACGGGAACACAGCCTGCGGGGTTTCTATGCTGGCACAAGTTCTTGGAAATAAACTCATCTGGTTTATGTTGTTGCTAATGATACTATCTTAAGTCTAACTCTTACTTGTTTTAAATAGTGCAGTACCTTTGTGTAATTAGTGTGGGCAAGAGTCATGCTGTAGATGGTTAACAGATGGTTAAAATGAAAGCTGTGATTTTGCTTCCTGCTTTTGTTTTAATATAATTGATGATTCATAGATCTGTTTTTCTTGGACTTTTTTTTGTAACGCGTATTAACAGATACTGAGGCATTTTGGTTGTGAAGATTGTAAACAAAGTTTTTTTTTAGTAAAACTTGAATGAAGTACATTGACTTTTATATTAGTGCTGACGTCTATCTGAATACTTAATAGCTTGTGACATTTCTGTATTATTAAAAATATTTTCTGTATTTTTATCTTAATATAGCAGTGTAAGACTGGAAACATCTGGGCTGAATGGACTTTAGCATCAAAAGAAGCTCTCAACTGTTAACTCAAAAAATTAACTACATCAAAATGAAGCAGGTACCAGAGATCCTTGGAAATACYAATGGGAAACCCCAGAATTGTGAAGTGAATCGTGAATGTTCCGTCTACTTGGGCAAAGCACAACTTTCTGCCACCCTGCAGGAAGGTGTCATGCAAAAATACAATGGCCATGAGACTCTTCCRTTTATTCCCGCTGATAAATTGAAAGATCTGACCTCTCGGGTGTTTAATGGCGAGTCCGGGGCCCAAGATGCAAAGCTGCGCTTTGAACCCCAGGAAATAAAGGGAGTTGGAACACCCCCCAACACTACTCCTATCAAGAACGGCTCTCCAGAGATAAAGCTGAAAATCACTAAAACCTACATGAATGGGAAGCCTCTTTTTGAATCTTCCATTTGTGGAGACAATGGTGCAGATGTGTCTCAGTCAGAGGAAAATGAACAAAAGCCAGCAAACAAGGAGAGGAGAAGCAGAAAAAGAAGCATAAAATATGACTCCTTACTTGAGCAGGGTCTTGTTGAAACAGCRTTAGTATCAAAGACTTCAAGCACCACTGAAAAGAAGGTAGTATGTTTTTATGTGTTCTGTCTTTTGTTATGTTTGTTAATCATACTGGAATTCCAGTATTTGTATGCTCRTCTTCATTCATTTAAATGTGGACTTATTTTCTATGAGTCTCTTTTCTCAACAGAGGACTGATGTCCTCTAGTTCTGATCCCTGTTTCTTCCTTAGGATAGGAATACCCCATAAATTCTATTTCCATATCAGTAGAACAAGTCTCCAGAGCAAATCAGGGCATGTGAAAGTATGTGATGTGTGAAACAGAAGCTTCCTCTAGACACATAGCCAGGACCTAGTCAGGATGAGCACCTGAGCCAGGGAGCTGAGGAGGCTTCTACATTTAGAGATGGTCTTTAACTCCTAGAGAATGAGGTATTCTGGCTGAAATCAGATGCTTCAGAAAAAAAAAATAAAAATCCACCTTTTCTTTCTATATTCCTAGTTCAGAATTAAAGAAAAATGTACTCAGCAGTCAGTTGGCTAATCAGCTGGGCTCTTTGCCATCAGATTTTGGCAACTGGAATGTAGTCCTTACACATATTTGTCATATGAAAAAGCTGGTCTTGCTTGCTATAACCTAGTGACTTGTTTTAATTGAAAATATCTAAATSTTGTATTTGTTGTCATTAACTTTGGTGGTCATGCTCATCTATTTTTTGCTTCTTTTAGACACGGGCAGAAATGGATATTTCACTTTTTAAAATGTGCCTTACCAAGTTGTAAATAAGAATGCTGCTGGGAGCCCTTTTCCCTCTTTATTTAGCTTTTGTTGCTAAACTCCCCTTTAAAGGAATGTGGTTTGCACAATTTTATCTCAGAGGAAAGACCCTACATAGCAGGGATACTTCTATATATATTCGGATTCTCAGTGAATAATTCAGAGTGGTGCTGTATAACAATGGTAAATGTTAATGAACACTTGGGCTTGTTAAAAGTTCCTGKTTTTCCACACCTTAAATACAAAATGTATGTTACAGTTTTCTGTCAGCTGCAGTTAATCATGGAATTGGGGATTGAAAAAAAAMCACTGAGATCATTAAGTCCTACCATTAACACAGCCCTGTTGATTCTTACTTTCTCCCAAGGTCACACATACAGAGAAGAAACAAACAGCTGCTTTATTGCTGATTTTATTTACCCTTCTTTTCAATGAAACTGGTTAGTGAATGAGTTCACAGAACTGGGTAAATGTGTTTCTGTGTATCAGAAATATTTATCATTTGTTCATGGTTTTAATGTATAATTCATCCTAAAATTGTCAGTACTGTTTTTTTCAGGAATGTTGTTAAAAGAGTTTGTTTTCCTTAATTTTGTTAAGGAGAATGTTTTAACACTGGTTAAGACTTTTCTGAATCATTACTCAGAGGTAAAAGGTATTGGCACAGCCAATAGTTCCTGTAATTCTTTGTCCAGCTCATTGTTAATGAGGATAAATTGGACTAAAAGGTGGTATGTTTAATAKTATTGACAACTGGAGCATATTTATGTGCGTTTGTTAGTTTATTTCTTTCAAAAAGAGGAGGTGATATTTACTATGTCCACCTACACAGTAARTTCTGAAGCCTTTTAGATTGGTTGTCTATTAAGAGTGGTCTTTAATTTTTCCTGGTGTGCAGTTCATTTAAAATAAAAAGAAAGATTTGCCCAGCTTGAGTTGTCTTTTGGGCAGAAACGGTCAGGAGAAAACCACTTCAGCCCTGTTTCCCAGAATGGCTGGGACTCGGTGGCTGTGAGTGGTCGGGTTATTTGCTCCTGTGCCAAAGCCCTGAACTACCAAACTGCCAAATCAAGGCAACCACCGTCTTTATCTCAGACCTTGCAATATTCAACCCTGTTCTTTTCAGAGGGTTTGAAACAGAGGGTCATGCTTCTAGCTTCTTTTTTTCCTAGCATAGTGCACTTTAAAACACAAAGGTCAAAAGGAAAAGCATTTAAAGGTCGCAGGATGCTATTTTATTATATAACTGCTTGATTGTAAAAAACCTGGGGCTTCTCTTTCTCTCATAGGGAGGATTTGCAGTTGTGCAGGTTTTAAAATAAGGAAAATGTAATATGAGGGAACATGTGAGAGAGATTTTTCAAATTTTTGTCCACATGTACTTGTCAGGCTTGTAATATGCATGTGTTTCCTGTGATGATAACTGTACTGTCTTCGTATCACTGTTCTTCGGTTTCAGACTCTTAGCTTTTATTTCATGGCCAGCATCCAAAGCYTTAATGTTAGTGCATCATATTGTGGTTTTATACAACTGATTGTGGCTGTAAAGTGAAAATTAGGTAAATATCCTTGGAGTAAAAGCTGATTAATTTTGCACTCAGATACCTTTTGTATCAGATACCTTTTGTATCAGATACCTGTTTGTAGAACCTGTTTGTCTGGTTTTATTTTTCAGCTGGTTTCTCTCTCAATTTCTTCTTGTGCAATGTTTTACTCTTTTGATTTAGCAAAAATCACCATGGTTGGAATACTGCCTTTTGTGTAAGGTAATTATATCTGTGTCTGATGGACACAGCAGATTGCCGTTGCTCTGAGGTGAGGGACATATCATGTAACAAATGTTCCAGTGCTCTGCTGTTGGGTGTTCTTGTTCTGTGGGCATTTTTTGTTAACAGAAATGAAGGTTATTTCAAACTTTTATCTGCAAGTTAGTTTTCAGCTGGGAGAAAATGTGATCTGCCCAGYTCTGACGTGAATTAGATTTCTGTTGATAACCACCACTTTTTCCAGGCCTCTGAGAAACAGCTGTAATGCTTTCATTTTCCCAGGGTAAAGGAGATTAAGTGGGAAAAGCCTTGGCTCTTTCCTCCCTCCCCTCCTGCCTTTTACCTTTCTTCCCTCCACCCCTTCTCTCCACCTGAGGAGTTTACTTTAAAATCCAGGCCTCTCATGATAAGGCTTGGTTTAGCAACTTTATTGCCAAGGCACTGCACCCCTGAACGTTCAGTGTTAAGGGTGGTAGGTATCACATGTTAGAGGTTTGAATCGATGCCAAACCTGTGGGCTGTGGTAACTGCTGACGTGCAGGGTGCTCTGGGATTGGATTTTGTCTTGACTGCTTTTCGAGTCACTGTTCTTGCTACCAGTGTGCAGTGAGGACTTGCCTAGATTTTACTCACTTGTTGCTTGTGTTAGAAGTGAAGCAATCCTGTTTGGAGGARAACGGCAGAGGTTTATTTCATTAATATGAATTAATCCAAGTCCGATCCCTAGAGCAATCCAGAGTTTCTGTACAGGAAACAGAGAGTACATCCAATGTGCAGCTCTCACGCTGTGAGTCCCAGGGTAGGTCTATGCTCTCTGACCCTGGGAGCAGCCCAGTATGTGATCCTGGCACATCTGAGCTCGTTCTGCAGAAGCTGGGATGGGCCTACAAGTGGCAGTTTGCCCTTTTGGCTGGGCTTCCTGGCCTGCCTTCCCAGCATGGGTGCAGTAGCTCACAAAAGCGGCAATGCTGTGTCCAGAACAAACCTGGAAGTCCGCACACTGCTCTGCTTGCTAGTTTTTGGTTTCCAGCTGTGTAATTTATGTACATGATCCAAAAACTATACCTTCCACATAGCTTCCTATCCAGTTTTCTTGTAGTTGTCTTCTGGTATTATACCAGAAACTTGGCAGGTTTTCACTCTCTCTGCAGGATACAGCCTGTAATGACCTGCAGTAGCTACATGGGGGGTAATTGCACATCACTGGAGAAATTCCACTAGTCCTTGTCACATGTTTATGTTGCCATTTATCTTCACAGAAAAAAAAAAMCAAAAACCTAAACTTCTGGCCAGCTCCGTTATATCCAATATCCACATACAGGCAAAGATTTAAAAACCCAGTGAGGGTAGAACAGAAGCAGTCTGAGGATGATCTTCTAATTTGTATGTGTTTGTGGTAGCTAAACACAGGAAGATGGGGACCACTGTAGGTGATGATATTGCTCTGATGTTTGCAACTAATCACTAGAGGCCAGCACAAAGCAGCAAGTTCCCTTTGTAAGATCAAAGAATTGAGTTCATCAAATATTTTATTATCCCATTGCAGATGGTACAGCCAGATCCAGAGATTTTTTTTTGTCTTAATTCAAAAATAAAAAGAAAAATTAAATAAGCATGTGWTTTCAGGAGAAGGGCTTGTTTCTTATCATCAGTTATTAGAAATTCCTGGTTAAGTACAGTTCCTGTACCTGTCACAAATGTGCAGCTAACTACCGCAGGAGTCTGGATCTGTACTTGTAAGGTAAAATGAACTCAATTATGTTTTCCTTTTTAATAGACTSTTCTTGATGTATCAGATGCTGTCCTCAGGTGAGTGATATCTGGCTGATGTCTACCAGAATCCCAAAGGAGAAGGAATAATCCTAAAAATTTCTTCTGGATGATCCCTTCAGGAACTAGAGAAGAAACTTCTTACCTTTTGGAAGAGTTTCTGGACTACTGTTTTTCATTAGCCATTAGTAAAGGATTAAGTTTAGCTAAGCCTTGAGAACTTGTGCTGAGCAGCTCATGATGTGCAGTAATTGTTACTTTGAAACTTTAAATTGTTTTTTTCTGAATGCCTTCTTGAAAAAGTATCTTAAAGAACTACTTGTTCCTTAAGAAGTACCAAAAAGCATACAGCAATATACTGGTTCGGGGTRAGGTTAGAAACTGTGAGTATTCTCAGAGTGGCTACAAAATTAATTGCAGAAARCCTGAGTATTTGTTCAGGCTTTCCATACTAGACTTTCTGTTCTTTTAGGTACAAGTGTCTGAATCAAGTACATTTTCTACGTAAAACTGTCATCTCAGTATGTGTTATCTAAATACATTTGTTGCCCTCTCACTTCATAAACACATTGGTGGGATAATCCAGATTAAATATTAAATAATATCTCAGAGTGTTGACAAAATTACTAAGAATAGCACTGCAAAGTTGGATCAAGGAGCCATTTAATTCAGCACCTCAGCTCAGGGTGAGTTTCTGTGGAGGAGGCATAATAGAGAGTATAAACATGGCAAATCATGGAGTGATGCT